AGCGTGCGGCCAGTTAAAAATTAGAAGGTTAATTTCTTTGGAAATGAGCAAGCTTACAAATTCAGCATGGTATCCAATAACCTTTTTTCGCCCCATTGTATATTTCTTAATGAATAGCTCTCTTTCTCTTTCAGGCGGAGTACCAGCTACAAGAGCGCTACTTCAATGTTTTGGTGAAGAAGGAGCAGATGGAGGAGAAGATGAGGAACATCAGAGAGATGAAGTGTCGGGCTGTCACCTGTAAAAAGGTACTGAGCCAGAAGTTGAATTCACTGCTGACCCAGGTGTGGTGTGGTTGTCTATCAGAAGTCACTGAAGTAAACCGTTGTTATTCTTCTGCTGGTTCCAGTGTAGTTACACCTACTTCAAGCCGGCGGATCGTTGTGTAGAGGAGAACCATGATCTGCGGTGGCACGAGGCAATGAAACGCTTCTTTAAATGTCCTTGTGGACAGAGAGCCATTGCTCTGGACAGACTGCCACACAAACACTGCAGGTAAGACAGTGGCTTTCCGACAAGGCCTGGCAGAAACACTGAAATGATGTGTATACTGTAGTGGGACTGTGGGACTCGCCAACTCATTAGTCATTTTGCCTTTTCAGCAACTGCGGTCTGTTTAAATGGGAACGAGATGGGATGTTGAAGGTAAGCTGTCACAGATTACCAATTTAAAAGTTTAAAGCAACATTTGATTGAAACAAAGTAGACTGATCACACACTTGACGTTTCGTTGCAGGAGAAAACTGGCCCTAAGCTTGGTGGAGAGCTCCTCCTGCCTCGAGGAGAGGAGCATGCCAAATTCCTCAACAGCATGAAGTGATTTATTATTGAGGGAGCAACCTATAGACTTTTATGTTTGTAATTTAAGGTTTTACCAGGCTTTCATTAGTATCAGGTCTGTTTTTAAATTTTGACATTATGTAGCTCTTGAGTGTCTGTGGTGATACCAGATGTGCTGCAAATTGGCTGATTAAAGCTGATTAAAGATTTTATATGTACAGACTGTTTTTCCCTACAAGAGAAGAATTTTTGCTCACCTATATTGGCACAGAAACACCCTCTAACACGCTCCATATGTTGGTGCCAGGCGGAGCCAGGTGGCACTTACTCAATTCTTTGAGCCAATCCACATGGCTTTAAAGGTCTGAGGTGGAATCACAGTATAGAGATAAAATAAGCTTTTCTGGGGTTGAAGCTGTGTGATTAGCAAGTGCAGAGTGCCATGCCACATCATTGTGAGGCTTTTATTTTTGCTCGCTATCCCGTCGCTGCTTGTTCCCCCCCCCCTCTTTCTCTTCACTGAGCACTTTGTGTCTAATATTTCCACTCTGGAATGTGGGATCCATTTCAGGCTGATGATTTCTGCAGCTCACCTCATCTTTTATTCCAAACCGCCTACCTCCCTTTAAGTAAAACTCAAAATACCAGACAGTGGAAGTGTGAGGAAAAGCACATCATTGGAAATTCATCTTTATTTGTCATTGTGACTTGGATATGAAGGACAGTTTGTTGGAAAAATTAAGCTACAACTCTTATCTGGCAAAACCATTTGTGTATAAAAGGTTGGTTTCTTGCCGCTAATACAGCACATCAGGCTGAAACGACATTATATAGCTTCAATGTACATATAAAAAAACCCAAAAAAGCATGCAAAATTTCTGCCCAACAGTACAAAAGTTGATCCTTACAGTTTAACAATGAAGACATATATTGCACTCTTTAAGTTGTATACAGAAATCAGGTTGAGAAAAAGGTGTAGATTAAAGTGGGACAAATACAGAAACCACTTGCACTCAGACAGAGTCGGGCTGTCACCTTCAGTACGGGGTAAAGGTTGTGGCAGTGAGAGCTGCTGTTGCCCAGCTCTCTGTGATTGAGGATGCTTAGTGGAACCAGTAGTAGCGAGGAGAGAGACCATCGTAATGAAACTCACGCAACTGCTCATTTGTCTCTCTTGACCTCTCATTAACCTCTGTAGATGGAAAAAGAAAGAAAATCATAAGTAAGGCAATGCAATAAGCAAGCATATAACAAACTATATGTAAAATATGTTGAAAGCCACTGTGACAGCACAGTACTCATAATCACATTGTATTCCTGCTCTACTGTAGTTTACAAAATAAAAAATGAGTTTGAACTAGTGATTGACACCATAAAACAATAGGGAACATTGTAGCCTGGCATGGGTGTTGTGGAAGGAAAAGACTGATGAAAGGAATACACAACCACTGGAGCAAGAAAATCAGATGCAAGGCAATTGATTCTTCTTAACTATAATCTCAACTACTTTCAGAAGCTAACAATAAATCTATCAAAAAGTGAAATTTTATGAAACCCTTGCTGTGAAAAGTAAATCACACTAACTTGATAATAATAACATAATTAACTATAGCTCATCTTTTGCACAGTATAGAGAATTTGTTGGCCCCATAGCAAAGCAATGTATGTGCTCACTTCAGAGTAATTCAGGTATTATTCAAAGTTTGGTATCGCAATATTTCTTCCATTCTTTATGGTTCACCAACTTGATTTTAAATGCAGCATAAAGTGATAAAAATGGACCGAGACATGAAAATACGAATTCTGTGTTGGCATTCGGTTGAGACCTTGTTTATCTTTAGAACTTGTTGACCCAAACCATGCAAACACCGTCTCTCACAAATAAAACCCAGTCCCATCTTTATGGTTAGCAGTTCTTAGTTTAGAAACTGTGAATGCAGCTATATCACAAGTGACAGACGACCACAGGGAAGATTGTCAGCTTGGGATCAACCACAAATAGACACTTTGATTTGGTGTGGAGTCTCAGGCACTGTGCTGTGGTTCAACGGCTCGTGGGTGCCAGAAGATCCAAACTTAATCTTTGTCCCTCAGTGTGGTCTCGACTGAGGCCTCTCATGGTGACTAACATTCAAGTAATTGTCAGTTTCCTGTAAGAGTGAGCTCAAGTTGGCTGTTGCAATATCGCCTATCTTTTCTGTTATAGTGCTTCATTAGGGGTCTCAAAGCAGATTGATGTTTCCATTACTATTTCTGTTAAATCAGTGACAATGATTCATGATTATTTGTTCTTGCATTTTTTTTTTACTTGAGGTGTTTTGATGATTTCACCTTCAGCACACAGAAACAATGACTTTAAGTAAGCATTTGGTATTTAATTGAAAATTCCTTTCCTGTTTTCATTAGCGCTATAAACAGGATAATAGGAAAATGTTTTCCCCTGCTGTGTATTTCCTAATTTGATGTGTTGTTGTGCAATCTCAGCAAAATGTAGACTTGAGGGAACATATCTAATAGTAGGAGTCATAGAATCGCCAGATGCCGTAACGTAATTTTTGTTTCATGGTGTTAAATCGGAGCGCACAGGAACCTGCTTTAAAGAAACCAGGTGAATTCAGGTCTTACCGTCTCGGTCCTCCTCAACATAGTTCTCATATTCGTTCCTTTGTTCCTCATTGTACTCCCTCCTGCGCTCATCGGCTGCCATTTTCACCTTCTGCTCAGCTGTTGGTGATGGAAAGAGTTATTTGCTCACAAAATAGTCAAAATAGAAGGTTGTATTTTTTCACATGTTCAAAACTGTTTTAGTAGTTTTTACTTCCATGGTCTGATTCTACTGTAACCTTTCTTTTTTATTCATTTTTGATTAATCATTTTATTCCATTATTTACCTTCTAATTGGGATAAACATCTAAAATATTGTGTGAACATTATCCCAGGTACAGGTACAGCGTAGGCTCTTTATGGATTAGATAAGACTTCTAATCCATACATAGTGCCTGTAGGTCAACAGTAGCTGCAGTGTGGGAAATAATTATATTTGATGCCTTGCTGAATTTGTATTTGAAGTTTTCTCACTTAAGAAGAAATGAAGAGACTTTTTTAGTAGTTCCATTTTAATGGAGAGACACCGATAGACTGCTGCTTGCCCATTTGCCAAATAGACCACAATCAGTCAATCAATTACACCTGTCCACAGAATCAATTCCTTCTCCACCAACATGTGCAAGACCAAAAAGCTGTTTTGGGACATGGACCTGCAAAAGGCTGCAATGGGCTACAAGACCATTAGCAAAAAGCTTGATGAAAAGGTGACAACTGTTTGTGCGATTATTTGGAGATGGATGAAATATAAATGGCCATCAGTCACTCTTGGTCTGGAGCTCCATGCAAAATCCTACATTGGGTGAAGATGATCATTAGAAATTTTGTGGATCAGCGTAAAACTATATGGGGGAGCTTCCAAAAGATCTGAAGGCAGTTGGGACCAGTCACAAAAAACACCATTGGTAACACACTACACCATAATGGACTGAAATCTTGCAGTGCGCCCAGCTCAAGAAGGTACAGATAAAGGCCTTTGTTAAGTTTGCCAGTGAACATCTAAATTTTTCAGAGAAAGTTTTGGGAAAAGTGCTGTGGTCAGATGAAACCAAAATCGAGCTCTTTGGCATTAGCTCCACCTGCCATATCTGTGAGAGGGAAAATGCTGAGTATGACCTAAAGTCAAGCACGGAGGTGGATTATTATGCTTTGGGGGTTTTCTGCTAAGACTACATGACACTGCATTGAGGTGCCAATGGATGGGGCCATGTACAGTAAAATCTTGGATAAGAGGCTTCTTCCCTCAGCCAGAAAAATGAAGATGGGTCATGGCTGGATATTCCAGCATAATAAACATAAAAAACATATCGCTAAGACAACAAAGTCTAATGTCCTCTTGTATTCTCCAACAGATTTAAAAATGGAAAAACAAAAATGGGGAAAGGGAAAAGAATAGTAGAGTGCTACAGACAGCTGCTCTGGTCATAGTAGGTTAAGCAGTCATCCAACATCTGTTGGAAATATTACACATAAAACAATCAATTTTTGCCTTTTAAGTAATTTTGAGCACAGAGACTTCTTCCTTTCAATAAAATCTTTCCTCTGTAATTGGTTGTTGTGCATCCACCTTTACTTTTCTCTCCAAAGAAAAGTCCTTTACACACACACATAGCTGACTAGGGTTCAAATTGACTAACTTGGCAAGTAACAATATCAACCTTTTTTCCAAGAAAAGGTTGTTTGTCTGTTACTGCTACGATGGGTGGGAAAAAGTGTCATGAAAAACAGCCTGTCTCTGGAGGTCTGCCCAGGGACATGCATACTTCTCTGATAGTTTTTTCCAGTATAAAACATATAAATCAACAAAGAAAAACTTCTGGGTTGGACTGATGGTTTCAGAGCTTTTGTGCAAGTGAATGTGTTTCTGTTTAGTTAGTTTTAAGGTGTGTGAATGATGTTTATTGTACTAATTCTCAGAATGAAAGAATGAGCTTACTGTACCAAGAAACTTAGAGAATGAGCCTGCTCCAGAGTACCCTGTGACTCCTTCTGCAGCCTCCAGTTTGTGTGTGTGTCTGTGAGAGACCTAGATTTGAAAGATGCTTCTGCATGGAACACCTGCCTGAGTTTGTATCACTCTCTTTAAGTGTCCCAGCTTGCAGCCAAAACAAACTGTGTCATCTCCAATCCCAACCACAAACGAATAAGCCAACAGTCACACAAAGAATATCTATGGAACGTGCCATAATTGAGTGTGGCCACATCAGCGACTCAAGCAGGGCCAAGGAGAACTAAACCACATGTAGCACTGAATATAAATCAACACACTCCCCACTCCCAGACCACACCAGCCAAACAGCGCAAAGGCAATCAATTCTTCAGCTTTTCAGAAATAGCCATTCTTCCTCCAAAATGACTACAAAACAACATGCAGACAGCCCTAAACAATTTCCTCTTGGTGGCTAGCCTTTGTTTTAAAGTGGATGTGTAAAATATATGGTGTGCAGCATACCTAGGAACTCGTAGTATCGGACTGAGCGCCGATTGCGGCGTTTGAAAAAGTTGGAGGCGTCTGACTCGGGCATAAAAACCTGCTGTGCAGCACCTAAAGGTCAGAGGTCATAAGTTCACAGCTGCATGAGCAGAAATGTAAAGAATAATTTACTGGAAGTAGCTTGAAGGATAAAAAGTCATACCTTTAGCATCTGATGCTTTTGAGTCATCCCGTACTGCTGCACCTTCCACCAGGCTGAAAACTAAAGGTGAGGGGGAAATATTATTTTGATCCTCATATATATATTATAGTATATCATATATATAATATACTACTATATATTATATATGCTTTACACACACACCACACACACACACACACACACCACACACACCACACACATACAGTACATATATATATAGTATATATATTATATATATATATATTATATATGATGATACTATATATATATACTATATATATACTATATATATATATATAGTATATATATAGCTGTTCCGACATTGAAGTGAATATATAATATATAGTATATATACTATTATATATATGATATATATTATATATATATATTCACTTCATGTGGAACAGCTTTTCATTCTCTAAGTCTTTAACTGCAAATCTTTAAATACAGCTTCAAATACAGCCCCTCCACTGTGAGTACTCCTTGAACAAAAGCTTACTGGTGGATAGCCGGGGGCACAAAACTAACGAAGGATCTGACATGTAAAAAATACAGATGTTTCCATTAGGCAGTTTTGTGCAGCACTGAGTGTAAAAAAACAAACTATGTAGATTTTGAATCAAAATTCCATTTCACAAATTTGTCATGTCTTCCTCTGTGCTGTAGTTTAGTGTAGCTTGCTTCAGATTAGATCAGTTTCTTATTATAAGCATCTAAGCCACACCACATTTTTTAGTGATTGGTCTCATAAAAATCATGCCTTACTGTGTCCTCAGCCATCACAAAGGGGCCAAATGGAAGAAAACTTTTTTTTACCCTGGGTGCCAAACCTAAGCATTTAACCTTACATACTTGCCTGTCCCAACTGAGAAAATATTAAAAAATAAAGAATAAATAGAAATAAAAATACATTTAAAAATATATTTTTAATATTTTAAAATTGTTCCCCAGTCAACCCAACACAATGCATCAGTGCTTTGTACCCTCAAAGCTACTCTTGTTTTTTCTACCCTGAAGATGTTGAATCCAAAAGTTACTCTTCCACTCCCCCCACTCTTTTCCCCACCTACCAAGACAAGGTACTCACAGGTAATGACAAAGAGGGTGGTGAGAACAGACAAGACAAAGACTCGAGCCCAGGACATCTTGAAGGTAAAAGGCAGAAGCTCCACTGGACTTCACAGCACACCTAACAGAGTTCAAGTGAGTAAGGATAGAAGGATGAAGCAGGGAATGGTGGAAGATGAGAGAGAGATGTGGAGGGAGGAAGAGAGTGGGAGGAGAAAGGAGGAGGTGAAGCTTTACAGAGGGAGGGAAGATGCTGGAATTTCAGTTCCCCAGGGGAGGAGATGACGGAGAAAGCAAGGAGGGAAAGAGGAGAGATGAACTAAAAAGAAGAGAACAGCTAAATAGAAATCAAGATTAAAAAATACTTTTAATACAAAATGAAAATGAAAATCATAATCCTTTTTTGATGTGACCATCCTTTGCATTTAAAACTGAACTAAACTCCTCATACCATTTTCAAAGGTTTTTTAATGTAGTTGGCAGGCAGTGTTGTTGTCATTTTTGCACATTAAAGTACAGATCTGCTGCAGGAGGCAACTTTCCCCTCACTGAAGACAGTTATTTAAGACACGTCAGCCTGCTGGAACCAATCACAAGCCTTCCCGATGGACAACAGTGCAAGTTTCTGAAGTGCCTTAAAAGTTTTTTGCCCTGCACATAATGCACATTCAGTCCTTGCATTTTGTGGGTAAATCCGTCCATGAAGCCAGATAACACACACCAATTAGTTAAACTGCAGGAATGTCTTAAAGACATAAAGACCTGGATGGCCGCTAACTTTCTGCTTCTTAATTCAGATCAAACTGAGGTTATTGTACTCGGCCCTGAAAATCTTAGAAATATGGTCTCTAACCAGATTCTTACTCTGGATGGCATTACCTTGGCCTCCAGTAATGCTGTGAGGAAACTTGGAGTCATTTTTGGCCAGGACATGTCCTTCAACGCACATATTAAACAAATATGTAAGACTGCTTTCTTACATTTGCGTGACATCTCTAAAATTAGAAATATCCTGTCTCAGAGTGATGCTGAAAAACTAGTTCATGCATTTATTACTTCCAGGCTGGACGACTGTAATTCATTATTATCAGGATGTCCAAAAAACTCACTGAAAAGCCTTCAGTTAATCCAAAATGCTGCAGCAAGAATGCTGACAGGGACTAGAAAGAGAGAGCAGATTTCTCCTGTTTTGGCTTCCCTTCATTGGCTTCCTGTTAAATCCAGAATTGAATTCAAAATCCTGCTCCTCACATACAAGGTCTTAAATAATCATGCCCTATCTTATCTTAATGACCTTGTAGTACCATATCACCCTATTAGAGCACTTCGCTCTCGCTCTGCAGGCCTACTTGTTGTTCCTAGAGTATTTAAAAGTAGAATGGGAGGCAGAGCCTTCAGTTTTCAGGCCCCTCTTCTGTGGAACCAGCTTCCAGTTTGGATTCAGGAGACAGACACTATCTCTACTTTTAAGATTAGGCTTAAAACTTTCCTCTTTGCTAAAGCATATAGTTAGGGCTGGACCAGGTGACCCTGAATCCTCCCTTAGTTATGCTGCAATAGACGTAGGCTGCCGGGGGATTCCCATGATGCATTGAGTTTTTCCTTTCCAGTCACCTTTCTCACTCACTATGTGTTAACAGACCTCTCTGCATTGAATCATATCTGTTATTAACCTCTGTCTCTCTTCCACAGCATGTCTTTTATCCTGTCTTCCTTCTATCACTCCAACCGGTCGCAGCAGATGGCCCCGCCCCTCCCTGAGCCTGGTTCTGCCGGAGGTTTCTTCCTGTTAAAAGGGAGTTTTTCCTTCCCACTGTCGCCAAAGTGCTTGCTCATAGGGGGTCATATGATTGTTGGGTTTTTCTCTGTATCTATGAAGCGCCTTGAGGCGACTTTTGTTGTGATTTGGCGCTATATAAATAAAATTGAATTGAATTGAATTGAATCTCTGAATTAAATTATGAAACCTACTTCTGTTTTGCCCACTTTGCGTTGTTTGCAGCACATACTGATTTTCCGATCTCACAAAGGAGCTAGTAACTGCTAACTTTGTGGCTAACTTTGGGCTTTTAATTTCTGCAGCTAACTGCCTGCTGTGGTTAGAAACAAGGTTGATGGCAGCAGGAAGGCTAAACTGCCCCAGAGCTGCAGAAATCAAAAAGATGCTAAACTGTTGCATACATCAGTAGAACCTCTGGTGTTGGTGATCAATGTGTGTAGATTTGGCAAACAACTACTTTCACATTAGGAAAAAAAACAATAATCTGACTCAGTGTAAATACCACTGATTAAAGTGTGTGAATGGAATCCTCATCACTTCACAGTTTTCAAAGAGGGAGTTGGGATGGAACATAACCCGAGGAAAAGCCAGAGAAAACCAGCTACTTTTGTGACTGCTGGAAGATGTTAAATAATAAAACTGGGAGCCAGAAACACAAGCTTTGTTCCATAGGAATATCCCTTACCTTAAACAGCTTCATGCTTTGAGCCACAACTGAGCCCAATCAAGGCCTTATTTTAGATTCATTGGAGCCCTAACATTCGTGAACGTGGGAATCAAAACTCTTCCTGCAAGTCAGTTGCCCTTTGTTTCTCTAGGTGGATGAGTTCATACAGCCTCTGCTTTTCCTACAGATAACTGTGTTTGTAGTTTAAGGAGCTTGTAGCAAAAGGTAAATACTGAAATTTTCTATAAATCATATGAAATAAAGCATAATAGACTTTTTTTAAATGGCACTTTTATAACTGTTGTCTTAACAAACCACCCACTGTGCATTTTTCTCTTTCTATGTACTGCAGAGGAATGGTTTATTTCAGGAGCTTCATTCAGGTTTCAGAATGCATCACAGTACAGAAACAGCCTTAGTGAAGGTTACAAATGATCTTCTTAGCCTTTGATAGTCAAGTCATCTCTGTGCTTGTCCTGCTAGGGCCAATACTGCTGACCATAATATTTTATTACAGTGATTAGAGCATGCTGTAGGTATGTGCTGCAGTGGTTTGAATCATATATATCTAATAGACTCCAATTTGTTCATGTAAATGGACACACTAAGGTTAATTATGGAGTTCCACAGGGTTCAGTGCTAGAACCAATTCTGTTTACATTATACATGCTTCCCTTAGACAGTATCATCAGAAGGTATAGCATACATTTTCACTGCTATGCAGATGACACCCAACTTTATCTTTTCATGAAGCCAGATAACACACACCAATTAGTTAAACTGCAGAAATGTCTTAAAGACATAAAGACCTGGAAAATTTGGTTCTCTAGTAACACTGTGAGGAATCTTTGAGTTGTTTTTGACCAGAAGGTCTTAAATAATCATGCCCCATCTTATCTTACAGACCTCATAGTACCGTATCACCCAAATAGAGCACTTTGCTCTCATACTGCTGGCTTACTTGTAGTAAGCCAGGCTACTAAAGCTACTGAAAAATAGAATGAGAGGCAGAATCTTTCAGTCCCCTCTTCTGTGGAACCAGCTCTTAGTTTAGATTCAGGAGACAGACAGCCTCTTTACTTTAAAACTGTGGTAAAAACTTATCGTTAGAGCTGGATCAGGTGACCCTGAATCCCCTCTTAGTTATGCTGCAAAAGGCTTAACCACTGTTTCCCTCCCCACTCTCACCAAGTAATAACCAAGGGGGTTATCTGATTGCTAGGGTTTTCTCTATATTATTGTAGGTCCTTTACGTTACAATATAAAGCTGATTGAAGTGACTGCTGTTGTGATTTGGTGCTATATGAACAGAAACAGAAACTCTGCCTCTATAAAATGTTCCTTTTATACCCATCATGACTATCCCATTTTAAATATTTGTTTTTTGTGTACTACTGTGAATAAAATATGGGTTTATGAGATCCACATGTCATTGCATTCTGTTTTTACATCTCATCCCAACTTTTTTGGAATTGTGGTTATATAAAACATGGCCAAATAAAAAAGCCCAGGGTTCACCCTGCTTAATGCTCCTTTTTCCTATTTTTTTGGCTCTATATGATGTCAACAGAAACAAATATCTCTAATATGCTCGCCTCAGGCACATGAATCTGGCGGCAAAACATGTGAGCGTACTGCAACAGGGTCAAAGAATGAACATGTGGAGATAGAAATGAGAATAATAGTTCCTCTTTAAATTTTGAGTTGCAATTTAAATTGGTCTCTGCAGATTTTACCCTGGAGTGTTTGTGATCTGAAATTTCCTTTGAAGGAAACTCAACAGTCCTACTCAGAAAACATTAAACAGAAAATGAGCCAGAAGTCAGAACCTGTTTGCAAGACACACATAGTTACAGATGCATACGCAGCATGTGTGTGCATGTGTAAATATGGGTTATATATATGCATATACCAGTGATGGGATTTCCAGCTCTTTTTAGAGAACCGGCTCTTTTGGCTCGGCTCAGTAAAAAGAGCCGGCTTTTTCGGCTCCCAACTGGCTCTTCAGGTTGTTTTGTTGCTTTAATTAATATATTATTAACAACAATAAAAAAATTACGCACAAAAGGAATTACTAATGTAAAAAAACTCGTGGTTTTATTTATATATGTTTATATATAAATATATGCGGTGGCCCCAAGAGACAAAGCACGTACAAACTCCAAAACATATTTCTAGCGTTAACTGAACTTCCTTAACAGAGCTACCTAGATCACTTAAATTACATAATTGAAAGCATATGTGTATTGTTTGTGTATTTATACACAAGCACTCATATATATTCAAATAATAAAAAAAAAAAGTTCATTTACCTGTTACTACCACACACCAAATCCGGTCATTGGTACTTCCTGGCTTGTGTAACCACTAGGTAACAAAAGCTCAACACTGCGCCTAGCATCCTGGAGCAGTTGTGTTTTGTATGTGTTTTGGAGTTTGTACGTGTTTTGGAGTTTGTACGTTCTTTGTTGCTAGGGGCCACCGTAAATATACTTTTATTTATTCACTCCACATAAAATGTAATAAATAAATCATATAATACAAAAACCAACTATTTACATTTCAACTTTTAACTATTTAAATTTTCAGCTTTTTCCTTTTAAACAAATTTAAAGTGAAACAACACAAAACACTGCAAACCACAACACCATTAAATATAAATTAAAATATGAAAACAAAAAGAAGATGCACATTCTCTGTCATATGGGCCTGCATGAATAAACTTTCTGAATCCTTTATCATCCGCAACTG